GACTTACTGCTTAGACAACATATACTTTTATTCTGGACCCCAATTCATTCCTTGATTCCTCAGCATAACTCCATACAGCATCATATATCCCTCGTTGCGCCCTACTAATCTGTTCCCACGATGCTGATCACCGGTACGGCCGATCAGTTTCAGACTAAGTCTTGACTTCTTATTATTTCTCTTCTTATCTTCTTCTCTATGGATTTTTTGCCTCTACAATAGCATGAGATGAATAAGCTTACAATTATCAGCATTCCAATAACGACTCCGCAAACTTCCAAGAGGGTGTAACCATGTTTAGCGTCACCTTGAGCAGTAGTTCCTTCGCTGTTGCCTGCTTGTGAAATGATCACTTATGCCTTTGATTGTATTTTTCCCATCATCTTGGTGACCAGATGATTTTCATATATAGTTCTCCATTTTCCCAAACATGCAACCAGCAGGATCGCCATGTAATGTCCTGTCTTCAATTAGATCGTAGTTCGAGTTATCGAAACATGTTCAGGAGTGCAGGAAAGAATAACAGAAGATAGTTCACTTTTTACTGGTTTATTATAGAATAGTTATTAATTCTTTCAGAGTTCGAACCGGAATGTTCTCTGTGAACTACAATACCTAATTGCTAACCTACCTATTACTATCAACAATGAATTGATGAATAATCAAACTATCGTAACACTTTCGGAAAAGCTGTGTTGGACTGTTTCGAAATGGTACCTGATTTCAATGATATAATTAAACGATATATCATGAACATCCACTACAGAATGCATGACAAAACCATCAGGAGTCTACGAACACAATAATTAACAATAATAAATTCAACACATGTGCAGAATAGCATTTCATGGTAATGATTCAATTCAATTAGACATTTTCCCTATTTTTCGGTCTCCTACTTTAGATTTGACATTCAAGTAATATACAGGGTGTCCCTGAAATGTCTGTAGAAAATGATATCACAGATTTCTGTGACCAGAATAAGATGATTGAACCAAACTTACCTCTATACCAAAATGCTCCGTTTAGCCGCGTTGGAATTGAATTTTTATTTCTAATGTTATCGTATATTTCAATATCGTCTATAGATATTGTTCTCGAATTTATTGGGCATACTGAATGGACTATTTTGCATGAAAAACAATCCATATCATTTTGATTGGTATACAGGATGTCACATCTTTGGAGTACTGTTGATTGAAAAATTGATAGAACGTTTTCTAAGTACGCCACTGAACAGATCTAATTGTTGTTTTCTATTCTCTTATTCAAAACCTAACTTTCAAATCTCCTGGAAGTTTGTGACAATCCTTTTGGTTTGCAAGTTATTTGACCAAATTCAATCTGATGTACCTGATAGTCATGAGAATTATTTAATTATTATTGTAGGTTTCAGGGTAGATTTCAATTTTGAATAATCAATCATATCTAAGATAAATTTTCTCATGAATTCTAAAGACAGGGTGTTGAATTTTTCACATTTCCTATAATTACCAATGCCCTATACGTGAGCATTTCAATATGGAGATAAGTTTGGTTGAAATATCTTATTTCGTTGTCGGGAGTCTGTGGTATCATTTTGTACAGACATTTCAGGGACATCCTGTCACATTGGTACTTGAAATTATGGTGATATGCTTCATGCTTTGGATATTCACAACTTGTTCTGCTCTGAACATCATGCATGAAATGCTGCTCAAAGCATAATTCTCATTGGGAGAGTGCCATTATAGTAGCCAACCTCAGGAATATATGGAAAACAACTACCTACCTCTTTTTCAGGAATGATTCAGGTCTTGATTCAGAGTTCATACCCTAATCAGAATATTTTTGATAGGATTAGGATAATACAAATGTTTGGTAGTGGAACTCTCAAGATATACCCCTTCCTTCCTGTGATACTGATAAGGGTATGAACTTTGAAGCAAGACTTGAATCATTCATAAAAAAGAGGTAGTTCCTCACATATTTTGGAGGTTGGCTTCTTTGATGGCATTCCCCCATTATCAGTAACATGTTTGTAGCCCAGGTAATCAACATATGAGATAGGTGAGGACATATAAATATCTCGAATATGAAATGATTGGGATATGTTCTGAGGGAAATTAGAAACTTATTGAGGTTTCAGAACATAGAGGAATTACATGGGAAATTGAAAAGGCCTGATGAATAGGACTATTTTTGGCATTAGTTTACCATTGAATTCAATGCTACAACATAAGTTTTTGTTCATGTTTGAGTTGCTAATAAAAACAGAATACCACTGAGAATTATTTATCTACTAGGAAGAGATTCCAATTGGTCATCCAATTGGTCATCCACTCGGTCATCCACTCGGTCATCCACTCGGTCATACATGAAAGATCCATATACGAATTTATCTTCTCCAAAAGTAGACTACAACGTTTTATTCAGTTCAGTTCTTCACATTATCAAACTCACCATTTTCATGCAATATTTCCACTGCGCAATGTTTCGCAACTGCGAGACCTGCTCGTTTTTTCACACGTTTGGATGGAAGTACCTCGGTGTTTCCGTTCGTTTATCTTACAAGATAAAACATTTTTGCCTTGGAGTCTTTCAACTGATTTCAATATATCATGAATTTTTCGTGTACCACATAACACAAATACAGTATGAATACAAATTTACCCGAAATGGTCCATAGGCAGGAGTTCAATCCAATCAGGACATTCCGCGAGGAAGGGAACTAGTTTTTCTAAACAATCTAGCCTTACTTGGCCTGAATAGTCCATTCTCCCAAAATGTATTATTGAAATAGAAATTGGAAAGTTGACTCATGCGAGAATTGAAAATGGAAACTTCATTCTGCAAGAATTTTACTAGTTATTATCACACTCTCGTACCGAAATATTTTCGTTCATGAAGTAAGTTGAATAATGAAAAAAATAAAAAAGTACCTATACTCTCAGGCCATGGGCGTAGCAATCGAAAGCGTAGTTTGCTCTATTCCAAACGTTGTCCAGGAAATTATCCTATGAAGAAGAAACTCATCAAGCAGTGGATTTATACACAAAAACAACTGACGCCGTATCACGCATGCGTTCATCTTTGAACGTTATGACGACTGGTCTGAAATAAGCGACTGTTTTCATTTTTCATATTATTTCAAAACATTTTATAAAAAAAATACATCTTGAGAAACACTGCCCTGCTAAGCGAAAGTGCCGTATGTACAAAACAGCCATTTTGAGATATGCGACTCTATGAATTTCATTTTGACCATTAGACCTGATGGTGAATTGCGCAGTGATACACGTGTTCCTCAAGTAACGTTGACATCATTTATCCTCTACAATAGTCAATTGTCAAATACTACGCGTTTTTCTGCTAGAAAAAACATATACTGCTGAAATTGCGTTGCCATTACGAAGAAAAAATTCCGTATGTGCACGCACATACTGCTTTACCATCAGGCAGTGTTCACATACTGCATTCATGCCTAGTAACTCGTCGAATAGTATGGATGAGAAACTACATTGCAAATCAATTTATTGCTTTATTGAAATATCAATTTACATTGTCATTTATTATGAATTCAAGTCAACTCAATTTCTTGAAGATGATAGGAAACTGATTTCAAACTCTTCCCAAAATCGTTTCCTATTATTTGGAATTAGATTCTTCAGAATACTTTTTTCGTTTCTCTATCGACACTCCACATGGTGCTGATAAAGGAGATGGTGCGAGCATTCCATTTTTTTTCATGTTCTTTTAACACAGAAAATCTAGTGTCATATAATCATCTTTTGCCAAATCAGTTTTACATTTCGAATCATAATTTCCCCTCACTGCTTTTATTTGGACGATGTCTGCTAAGTATAATCTGTTTCCCGCCTTTTGAATTTTTTGTTGAGACTTGAAGTATTTCCAAAGACAAAAGTCGGTGTGTTTCATTTCTTTCACGTCCACTTTTGACTTATTGGCACTTTGAACGGATTCTGAAAAATCTCTGAAATCGTACGTCTTTTTCTGTTTCTTTAAAGCAGCTTCCACCTGGTGGTGAGAGCTATCGCCCGACATGAATGTGTGACCCGGCACAAAGTACTGTATGTCAATTTCGTCAATGGCCACTTCATCCGAATTCACACCAATTTCTATTTTGGCTCGAGCAGTTGTCCAACCACACAATTATACGTGGCGAATTTTTTTTTCTTTATACGTGGCGAATCTCTATATTTTGAGAGAAATGCGTCCTCCCTGTTTCGACCAGTGATGCCCTCATGCCATAAACACGCGATTGGCTTCTGATCTGATTTTTTTCCAACTGTACCGAAGCTTTCGTTATATACAACGATCCTTTTTGTGAAGATAACTTCTTTGAAACACTCAACACGTGGCAACATAATTACTGTTTGTAAATCTGCTGAAAAACAAAGTGTGCCATCTGCAAACGACTGTTGAGCAAGTTCGCGATACAGATTTCGTAGTAGCTTCATCTATGTGAATTTTCCAGATTTGGCACTGCTCACAATGGGGTTGTTGATTTTCGTCTGAATGACCATGTAATCTAAAACCCTCACAATCTTCGCATTCTTCATGACCCAACAATGCGAACGGTATACGCAAGCTCTTAACTTTCTGTACATACAATTCATAGGATAATTTTGAATCTGGATGTTTATCTTGAAAATCTTTGAACATGAAATATGCACATCACTGGGTAGGTATCTAGTTAGCGATGCATGCTCACGGCGATAATGCGATATTGTGGGATTGAACGATTCTATATGCTGTGTAAGTAAGTCTTCGTGCTAGAATTCATTGTGTTTTCTATGTTTTCCACGTTTATCTGGATTTGCTTCAAGGCTTCCCTTTTCAGTTTTCGACAAAACTTCTGTTATCACCCAATCATTTGTTTTCTTATAGCCCAATGTGCCAAAATAAAACACCTTACTTCATAAGTTACCGCCTCAGTTGATAAACTTTCGTCAGAAAAAAATACTTGAATGTATTTTGTTTATCCTGACTTTCTGCAGACTTGGGACGCCTTTTCACTGCAGAACGCTTACAAGTATTGAATATGAATGTTCCTTCTTTCTAACCAAGACAAATTCCAAAACTGCTCATTGATTTCGGAACGTCGAGCCTGAGATATTTTACTGGTGCATTTCTTCTGGCACTTCTCAGGATCACATGGCGGCAACAGCTTGTGATTCTCTTTCATTTGGTTCAGTTACATACGTTTTCGTGTTTCTTCATTTTATATTACGCTTCAGTTGACGTTCGGCCACAGAACAACAAGTTCTGTCGACGCGCAGTCGATGCGCACTGGGAAAAAAAATCAAACGTCTGCCACGAAGATCAAAGGTCCCGACGCCAACTGACCCTACTGCCTCTGTAAGCTCTCTACTGTGATGGGGTGTCCTTTCAATAGAGAGGTCATGATGAACGGATTATAGTTTATCCATCTCTGATGGATAATTTGTTTAGTTGCTTGATAGATGCCCCACCTGAGGAAGAAAAATTTAAAATCATCAGGAAGAATATTCTACCTCGTTATCTTGGCATTGCAGTATCAATTTTCCAGTTTAATGTGAGATAACACTCAGGGGTGTTCTTCATACTTCACTTTACTTATTCCTTCTTTCAATGACATCGCACTTCACATTTATTACCTATGAATCATGTAAGTGAGTTACCAGGGTGAGTTAAAGTACCTCGTAAAGTACATATGCATATTATTGTTTTGCCAAATTTTTCATAAACTATATACAGGGTGATATATTACCGGTTCGACAAATCTTCAGGTCAAATACTTCAAATTTCAGTTTTTAATTAAATGTGAATATCTGGGAAATTATCAGTGCAACTTCTTACATTCCACCTCTTCCATAGTTGTTTGAAAGTTGGTTTGACTGTATGAAAATTAGAAAGTGTGTAACCCCACTAGCTCAGCAATTCAGGGTTCAGCTCTCTGACAGCTCTCTGACAGGTTATCTTGACCAAACTTACCTCGATATATATTTTTTATATATTTTTCAGAAATCTTATAAAAAATATTTTATAGTTCTTTTAATAATCTGGCAGACTTCAGGCGCCAGTCAATAAATTGACAGGTAGGAGTAGGCAAGATTAAATGAATTTTTTTTGAGCCAGTTTCAACAAACATATACGGTTTATTCAACAATATCTAAATAATTATATGGGTCTAGACACCACGAAAATTATTGAATTACACTAACAATATATTCTAAGTGAATATTCTAGGTATACTAAGGTTACTATGAAGTTATTATAAGATTATTCTTATTAGACAGGTGTATAGAGTGAGTCCTTGTTATGTTTCCTATCCTGTTAACTTTTGCATTGAGATTGGTGTATTTTAATGATTGAAAACTGATACATAAGTTATCAGATCTTACGAAGTAAGTATAAATCACCTTCTTGACTTTTCACAAACTCTTATGATGGTATTTTATTCCAGTCACTTATTCCTTTAAAAACACCTATAGAAATGCTTACAAATGATTTAGATACACAGATAAAAATGCTTAAACCTTGTGACTATCGAAATAACGAAAGTATTACTCACGTCAACAGCTGTTGAGTCGTTAAGTGCACAAAAAAATCAGGGAATGTAAATCAAGACTTCATAAAGCATAATAGATATAGTTATACACCTAAATACTAAATAAAATACTAAATTGTTCTTTATTCACAAACACCAGCCGAGACCACGAGAAAAATGAAGAAATGTACTTACAGTACTGTAGATACCATATTTAGCAGTAACAACGGTATACTTATATCGTTTCCAGGCTCTGATCATTCAGAATTATATTTCATTACTCTCGTCCTCTACCAGGGTGGAACTTCAATAGATCTCTCCGGATTCCATTTGGTCATCACAGTTATTACATTACAGCAAACAATATCAGATATTATAGAGTTGTCACCTCTCAGAAATCAGCTTCGTTATCGTCACTCAATATGGCGTGGTGAGTGAAGGTGGTACCACAAAATTCGTGCTAATTACAATCGTTTCGCCTCATCATTCGAACTTTCGATCATACTCAAAAAGCCTGTAAAAACATATCTAATGAAATCCACTTTTCATCGATCAATCGCTCTGAACTTACCCTAGGTATTCTTAGGCTTTCATCACATTCAGAAAAATCACTTTTCTCTACCTAACATTCAGTTAGTAGCTATATCTCGTAGATGGTAAACTCAGAGACCAGAATCGAAAAACTCTCAGGCCCTTCAAATCATTCATTCGCGCTCCGATCTCGTTCACTCAAAAACATTCTCGCCGATAAGCGGGCGGACAAAAAATTAACAGGGTGGTCATATAATGGAACCGCTACAAGTGACATTTCTGATTTTATTTAACCAGATATATTTCACTGGATCTTGTATTCTTGACTTGAACAAGACCAACTGATTTAAGTTCTACAAGTCAATTTTTTTTATATGATTTAAAACTTATTTGATAAATGAGATTACACAATATCATAACATTCACAATTGCTCCAAGATTATGAATTTCTGTGATCTGTCCGGGATGAAATTTCTCGTTATAAGTAACCAAAACGTGATTTCCAATATTCTATGTATTCATGGAAGATGCAGGTTTCTTGACTGGTTCTACACTGACATAATCGGACAGTTCGGGGTTGTGAGGGCTATCGTTACTTTCAGCATATTTGACGCTCTGAATGCTATCGTCTGAGCTCTCTGAATCATTTCTTGTTCTTTCAGATTTCTGACTTTTGGTTTTGATCACAGGTAAGCTGTCGTCAGAATCTGAAACTCCAGGATGCTCATATGAGCTCCTCCTGTTCTGGATTCCAGAAGTGGAGGGCTGTGACTAATCAATGATAAGCTCGGTGGAAGATGCATTCTGTACATCGGCAACCGTTTTCCCTTTGAAAGGGCACTTAGAGTTTTTTTCTCCTACGAATACGAGGTGTGATGTATTGATGAAATCAGCTCCTCAGGAAGAATCTGAAAATTCAATGAAATACAGGGTGTTCCATTTGAAAAAATCAAGTAGTACTATGTAGATCGTTTGTTCCGAGCACCTTGTATTTTCTGATGCCACGGGAAAAAAAAACTGAAAAATCATTTCAGATTATTTCTCAAATTCTCGAATCGGTTCAAAATTAAGTGCGCTAGAGGGCAGGAATTTATGGTGAATCACCCTGTACGCATAGCTACGACCACAAAATTACTGAATACGTGAGCTGCCAGGCGTACGTTCATTTTTTGAAAGTTCGAAGGATTGATGTGGGCATCGGTTAATTTTGGAGCTAAACGATATTTTTTTATCTTTTCCATCTCATAAAGCCAAAATGGGTTTTGTTTGTAGTTCCATTCTCATATGTCATGTTATAGGAGAAAGAGTTATTTCGAGTAGATTTTAATAAATGTGGTGGATCAAACATGTAACATATCTTTGAATCGCGTACAAAGAAGTATGGCTTTTCAATAGTTATTCCTAATTCTTTAACTAATTTAAAATAATTCGACCCCTGATCAGAAATCACCTCCATTACATTCAATCCGAAATTTTTTAGCTCTGTGATAGATTTATGAAGGATTTTTTTCAAATCTGGAACTGAGGCTGTTGAATGTAAAAAAAATATGCAATAGGCTGCTTCCAATTCGAATCAATTCCTTTTGCTATCAACACCAAAGCATGAGTAGTAACTTTTGCAAGTTTTTGATTGAGAACTTCATGTAATCCAATAATTTCATCTCTCCCGATATCATAAAATAAATGAGATTTTATAGACATTTCATATATGCAGATCATACAGTCTCTATCTTTTTCGTTCTATATATCTACTTTGAGTTTTATTGCATTGAATACAAAAGTATTGGAAATAGTATATACAGGCCAGTGTCTAGTAATTCTAGTCAAAGTAGATTTTGAGGGAAGAAAAAAAATTTTTGATAGAAATTTATACACTGTTGGTCTTAGAAAATAAATAGAGAGTGCAAACTGCTTGTATTCATTCAAATATCGACTTCCTTTTGGTGATTTCCCTAGCAAAGACAACTGGGTTTTAATGAAGTTGGCAAAATGTTCAGAGAAATTCTCTGTCATGAACTGACTAACATCTTCTATTGAAATATTGGGCTTTTCAACTTCCTTTTCCTGATTGGCTCTAGTTAAATGCCTCAGTTTCCTTCTCAAATTCATCTTCCTAGGGGTGTTTGCAGAAAGAGAAGAACTTGTCTGTACTTGAACAAATTTTGAAAATACTTCGTCTGTCGAACTGCCAGCTGTACAGGGTGGGCAAAATTGGGCGTTTTCACCGTCTATCTCAATAACTAGAGGAGTTATCGAAAAACCGATATACATGTTCCGGGTTTGATTTTGGAGAAACCCCGAATGGCACAATCAAAATTTCGATATCTTCATTCGTTTTAGAGATACAGGGGGAAATTGAAAATTTGCCGATTCCGATTTTATTTTCTGACTACTTTACGGTGAGAGGTATCGAAAAATTTCAAACGTATATTCATGCAGTATGATGCGTGGAATCCATTGGCATCATCAGAAATTTTATACAGGGTGACGTTGAAAAGATACGGCAGCCAATTATGTTTTTTCTAATGGAACACCCCGTATATTTTGGCCCAGGCGTTCTTATTACAAATATATATATATATATAACCCTACCTTTTCCTTCCACAATTTCAGATATATTCGCAAAAATATATTCAGTGTGTCACATTTCTTATGGTTACACCCCCGTATCTTCTGTAGAAATAATTGACGTAGGATACAAAAATTCGCAACTGTCAGAAAGATACAAATACACTCATGGAGTCATGGACCAAGTGGGATCATCTCCAATGATAACACTGCTCGCCAGCAGCTATGGAATCATCGATATTTCTGGATAATGCAATCAACAGGCAGAATCGAGGTTGAAAATGACACTCTGTATATATTCACCAAAGGTGGAAAATGAATATCATAGGGAATGTTATTTCCAGACACATGGATATTTAGTGAGAAATAAAATGGGAAATTATTATATATTATTATTATTATTATATTATC